GTAGAAGGAGGTGGTGGTAGTAGTGGAAGTAATAAAAAAAAACAGGGGGTGGTGATAGAAGCGGGCAGAAAAAGAAAAAAAAAAAATCACTCTCAACACTCAGTAGCCAAAAAAAAAAAAAAAAAAAAAAAAAAATCACATTGTCTTCAAAAATAGAATCTTAAATATTTGGAAAGGGTGGAGGAAATAAATCCTGGTGCTATCTTCAAGATTAATGATGTGTAGACTATTTTTTAGGCTTGGCGTCTTTCATCCTTTAGGTCAGAGGTCAGCAGCTTTTTACCTGTAAGTCCTACAGAGACACAGAATTTTATATTGACTACCAGAAGCTAATTTAGACTGCAAACGATCAATAAGTCAACAGTGTATGAAAGATTCCACATTTTCAGAAAATTTTCTCTTTGTCATTTTATCTGGAGATACAACTGCCTTACTTACTACCAAAACTATCTGGTTCCCAATCTGTCAGTTAAGCATTATAGCATATTGCTAATATAAAAATGGTAACCATTTGAGAGTGCCTACAATTGTTTAGTAGCTCCTTTAATATGTGGATGGGGTAATGCGTATCAGCTTGGAATGAAAAATCAGAGATCCAAGTTCAAATTGCAGTCAGATTGGGGCCTATAATCTTGGTTGGCAACCAGTCTACTGCAGAAAATCTTCTGCTTAGTCAGTAATGAATCAAAAGAGAAATGATCACCTAAGGGTGTGGCACTTAACTAATTAGCTTCTTCTGTATTATTTATAAAACGTTTTTCACCAGAAAGCTAAATTACATTCCTAAATTTTGTGGAGAAAGGCTTATTTTCCACCGTATAGACACTTTCTTCACAGACACAATGTTGCCAACCTACTCACTATTTCCATGGCAAATGTTCAAATGAGTTCTATTCTTTAGCTGTATTGTGCTAGTTCCAATTACTTTGTGACTCACATGAATAAGAATGAAAACTTCATCAACATTTAATAAAGTTATTTATGTTTAAAAACATGAATATCACAATTAACATAAACACAATGTCCTTTCCTCTATAGAGAGAATATGTCAGGTGGACTTACGCATCTGGTGGAGTGAAATAGGGCTAGACAACTCGTATTTTTAAACCCTTGGTAACTGGTAACTGTTACCATGGTGGCGGAGAGAATTCCTTGTGTGTCACTTCAAAGCAGGTCTGAATCTCTTCTCTTGGTGGTCAACTTTTTCCAAACTCACATGGTTTAATTAATAAATGAGAGACTGTCTCATATCATGTGACCTATCTCTATATATGAAAGCAGATGAATTTTACAGCCTGAACAGTTGTATCAGTTTAGATCTTTACAGCCAGTATGCAAAGAGTCAAATCACCCTCATTTCCACCGTATTCCAAAAATAAGAAAGAACTCTCTGTGGAACAGACTCTCATTAAAGGAAACAGACATATATTACTAAATTTGGCGGTGGGGATTATTCTCCACCCTGAATCCTGTTTCTTCTCACAGGCAGAACAATGCAAACCTATCACTCTGTGTAGCTGGTCACTCGTATTTGAGAATACCCATCTACTAGAGCAGTTAGCCAATCTCTATTGCAGACACTTGCTCAGGCATTTGTGTTAATTCAACACCCACAGAGCCCATCTGTGGTTTATACTGCACAAGCCCTCAGCCACAATGACTTTTAACTTTGTGCTAGCACAGCTATCAACTCCCCTCCCCAAGGGTTCCGTCTACCCAATTTTACTCACAAGGCTTGGGCCAACCTGTGGTATGGTTTTTCAGGCACTTTCCAAAGTTGCTACATGCTGGGAACATCCCCTCCAGCCCCATAACATCAGGAAGTCTCCTTCCTGACAAATCGACCATGGCGAGATTCGAACCTGGATCCTACGGTCAGAATGCAAATGTTCTAACCTCTCGGCCACCTATCACTTCTCTATCACTATTTCCATGGTAAATGTTCAGATGGACATTGGTCTTTAGTTCCACCAGTTCAGACCTTCACTGTTAGAACATGTCATATTACTTCCACGGAGTCAAATCACCCTCATCTCTTCCATGCTCCAAAGGTAAGAAGTAAGTTCCACCCAAACAGATTTATCCCCCAAGAACTGCCACTCTGTGGAACATGCTGATGATTCCCTGAACACTACAATCTTAACCTTTTCTAGTCAAGGGTCAATCATTATCTATCCTCCTTATACTCATAATATTCACTTCCTCTTTCATTCATATCACACACCTCATTCAACATAAACATTTTAACAGTAAAGCTCTAATTTGAATGGCTCATAAACCTTGTATTGAGTGAATCTTAGTATAAAAAAGTGTAAACCAGACATCTGTCTAACTTTTAACTGAAGTATAAACCTGATATATGTTTATCTATCAATCCATTGTGATTTTTATCCTATAAGAATAAGTTTGACATTAAGTAACTGTTGTAACCTAGAGAAGGTTACTGAATAGAAGAATCACACAAAGGATGGTAATGAACGATAATAATTAGGATAAGAACAACACATAATATTTGCCAGCAGAAGTAGTCAACTGCAAGAAGTGAGTCAAGTGAATTTCACAATGAATCTCCAATTGCAGGATATCTACCAACCACCACCACATGGTCAGATGTGGCACAAGGCCAAATTTAAAGTGAGGTATCCAAGCCTGTAGGCTCAGCCAAAAATTCCCTGTAGACCCCATATAAAATGGGGTCCAGTAGCTGTTTCCCAAGACTCTGCCCTACAACATAGCCTTGAAGAAGTAGTCAACTGCTAGAAGTGAGTCAAGTGAATTCCACAATGAATCTCTAACTGCAGGATATTTACCAACTGCCCCCACATGGTCAGATGTGGCACAAGGCCAAATTTAAAGTGAGGTATCCAAGCATGTAGGCTCAGCCAAAACTTTTCTGTAGACCCTGTATAAAATGTGGTCAGGTAGCCATTTCCCAAGACTCTGCCCTACAACATAGCCTCGTCTGGGGATCCTCTCTGCCCAGAAGCAGAGAGTTTGACCAGCTTGAGACGAATCTCCAACTGCAGACCAACATACAGTATTTACTACTGTATTTATGTGAATGGGGACATACCCATTATCGTCTCTAGGTATGCTACAATAGTAACCCAACAAGGGTTGATATGTCATCAAATTAACCAAGATAAGCTAACAAAAGCAAAGCTGGTTTTCAAGAGTAACAAACCCTGATCAGGTAAAGAAGCTATTGGTCAAATAGTATTTGAATTTCTTAGATGAAACAGTATCACTTATTGATTTTTTTACTTGTATGTCAGTCAATAAATTATTTTCCATCTTACAACCTTTCTCCCACAGATACAACATTGGAAGCCTATCACTATTTCCATGGAAAACGTTCTGGCAACCCACCTCTGCTAGTTCCACCATTTCAGACCTTTACAGCTAAGACATACCATGCCATGTACACAGGCGCAGACTATCCCTTTCATATACCATTAGTAGAAAGGAAGTTCCATTTGGACAGCTTCTTCCTAAGAGATGCTGTTTTGAGAAATAGACTCCCAAAAGGATGCTTACCAGATCACTATAATAACCTCTTCAAGTTTACGGTCAAACATTATATATCCTACATATCCTCATAATCTACAATTCTTACATCCATAAAACAACCACATTTAGTAACCCTATAGCTTGAGTGGCTCTTGTATTTTTTCTCATTTTCTCTTCTTTGCTTCCACACATTCTTTTCTTTCTCTCCTTCTCTTTTACTCTCTCTTGCTTTCTTTCCATTTTTTTCTTTACATTTCTGTATCATCAAGATTGAGAAAGGCATGAATGTAGATCTTCTCTCTTCACTCCAGCTATGGGTTAAATAGCATAGACTAGCCTTAGGTGGCAGGCAGCCTAGGAGATGGACAACTATGAATTCAAAGAAAACTGGAGATAGTAACACTATCTTTCCCAAGAAGTCAAAGGAATTTCCCATATAATTAAGCAAAGGGATGTGTAGATACCTATAATCACCTAAATCCTGAAGGGACACAACATTTTTTTTTTTAAAGGAGAAATTGTTTGGGTGTTCTTAAATTTCTTGGCTCGACCAAGAAAGCCTGCAAAAAAAAAAAAAACCTGACTGGTCATTTTTTTTTTCTGAAGGGCTTTCTTTATTCAACCAAGAACTTTCTTAAAAAAAAAAAAAAAAAAAAAAACCACAATTTCTCATTTTTTAAAAATATCATCTGATTGGCCAGAATTTTTAAATTGTTCAGTAAGAAATCTTCAGCATCTGCTTGTAGATATCAACTTTTTTTAAAATAAAAAATGAAATAATGATAATAAAAGTATAGTCTGAATAAAATATTAATAAACAGAGGTAGACTAATCAAGCAATTTTGGGAGGGAATGAGATTGACACTTTAGTACCTAGACTGTATGAATTTAAGTGCAATACTAGACTGGCAGCAAGATCTCATCAATTAAACAGTTGAGCATAGCTAAAAGTAGACATAACGGTTGAGCATAGCTAAAAGTAGACATAACAGTTGAGCATAGCTAAAAGTAGACATAATAGTTGAGCATAGCTAAAAGTAGGCATAATAGTTGAGCATAGCTAAAAGTAGACATAACTTCTATGCTAACAGCTTCTTACCCCATACTTCTCACATTTTGGAATTCCCTCATGGCTCCATGCTTTCCAGCCAACTGTAATCAGCAAAAATTTAAATGCAATGTCAATCGCTATCTACTGTCCTGTTGATTGCTCTTTTCTCTTTCTCCTCATTGCTAATGTTTCTGTTCATAATTCCTCCACACCCTGTAATCCGTTATGTGCTAGTTGCTTGGGGTGATAATAATAAAAAAATTGATGAAGAAAAAATTATTGCCTCAAGGATTATCAATAAACCAATAGTATGTTGCCTTGTGTAATCACCTATGTCACCTGAACCAATCAACTTACTTTACTGAATTTCTCTGTCAAACAATAAGAAAATCACTGATTTGAGTGCTTATCCATCCATAGTTTTTTTAAATGTTAAAAGACCAATTTCTTCACACCCTCCCTCTTTCTCATTCTATTATTATTTATCATTTTTTTCTTTTGTCACCTCTCTTTTCTTTGTTCTACTTTTATAGATATATCTTTTTATTTTTCTCTTTATCTCTCTTTTGTTTTTCCTCTCTTTCTTTCACTCCTTCACTTTCCCTCACCTTTTTTTGCTCCTTCACTTTCCCTCACCTTTTCTTTTTCTCCTTCATTTTCTCTCACTCTTTCTTTCCTACTTTTTTCTTTCCTGCTTTCTTTCCTTCTTTTATTTTCTCCCTTGCTTTCTTTTTTCTCTCCTGATTTCTTTCCCTCTTTTTTTTCTCTCTTGATTTTTTTCTTTCTCTTTTCTCTACCTCTTTTACTCTTTCTCTCTTCATTCCATTCTGTCTATCACATTTTTCTCTTTATCATTTCCTCTTTCTTTTTTCTTCATCCATTTCCTTTCTTTACTTTGTATCCCTTTTGTCATAATTTTAAATATTTTATCCTTCACAGGAATATTTGTCATGTGAAAACTTTTAGGGGACAAAAGTCTTACTACCTTATTGTATCAATATCAATGAAACAAGCTATTGTTACTGCCAGTTTATTTTTAAAATATTTTTTATTGTAAATGATGCCTGGTTACATTGTTTTTATCAAAGTGATGAACATATTATTAATAGATGACAGATTTTGATTTGACTTGTACACTAACATTTAGATGTGTTAAAGTTCCTTAAATTGGAACTTTATACAATAACACCAAAGTTAGACAAAAAAACATCTACAATACAGCATCCCTTTTTGCAAGGACGCTAGTAGTGTATGAGACAGCTATTTAAATAGAATTGATACAGACAAAAAATAACAGACTGTTAGTGTTAGCAGAGAGATAATGAGATAGGTATGAAGACAGTGACATAGAAAACATTGGGATAGATAGATAGATAGATAGATAGATAGATAGATAGATAATAGATAGATAGATAGATAGATATGAATTAGACTGGAATAGATAGATAGATAGATAGATAATAGATAGATAGATAGATAGATAGATATAGATAGATAGATAGATATGAATTAGACTGGAATAGATAGATAGATAGATTAGACTGGAATAGATAGATAGATATGAATTAGACTGGAATAGATAGATAGATGGATAGATAGATAGATATGAATTAGACTGGAATAGATAGATAGATATGAATTAGACTGGAATAGATAGATAGATGGATAGATAGATAGATATGAATTAGACTGGAATAGATAGATATGAATTAGACTGGAATAGATAGATAGATAGATATAGATATGAATTAGACTGGAATAGATAGATAGATAGATATGATATTAATTAGACTGAATAGATAGATAGATATATGAATTAGACTGGAATAGATAGATAGATAGATATGAATTAGACTGGAATAGATAGATAGATATGAATGTAGATTAGACTGGATATAGATGGATATAGATAGATATGAATTAGACTGGAATAGATAGATAGATAGATGTGAATTAGATGGATAGATAGATAGATAGATATGAATTAGACTGGAATAGATAGATAGATGGATGGATAGATTAGATGGATAGATAGATAGATAGACTGGAATAGATGGATAGATAGATAGATAGATAGATAGATAGATATGAATTAGACTGGAATAGATAGATAGATGGATAGATATATGGATGGATAGATGAATGATAGATGAATTGGATGGAATAGATAGATAGATAGATGAGATTAGATAGATAGATAGATAGATGGATATGAATTAGACTGGAATAGATAGATAGATAGATATGAATTAGACTGGAATAGATAGATAGATAGATAGATGATAGATTGAATTAGACTGGAATAGATAGATAGATAGATAGATGATAGATTAGATATGAATTAGACTGGAATAGATAGATAGATGGATGAATGGAATAGATAGATAGA